AATGGAGCCAAGAAGCTCCGTCCCCTCCGTACCACAGCTGACAAACCCTGTCTGAGGTTGCTGCCTTAGAATAGCAGCATCTGGTCGCACGTACCACTGGACTGAGTGGAATACTTCTTCTGTTTTACACCCTTTACCCAGACATTTTTGTTTATTTGCACTGTTTGGTTCTCATTGTGGGTTTTATCTTGGCTCAGAGATCAAATGGAAGCCTGCAGATCTAGTAAGTGAAGAGCAGAATTGAAACAAGATGCCCTCACAGCACACACCCATGTCACAGTTCACAATAAATATTTTATCAAGATACCTATTAATAAACTGAAACTGTGTTTCCATGTTGTTTAACACCTAATTTTGCAACTTTGTTCCTTTACAATTATGAACATATAAAAAGTTTATCTGTGTGCACAGTAGCAGCACCAGTGCCAGAGACTGTATGCTTCAGATACTTGCTACGCTAAAATTCTAAAATCAATGTTACCGCTCAAAGTGCTTGAACACAGACCTAGGAGGTCTTTCAGTTTTCAAAACACAGCTTCAAAAATGTTTTTTTAAAGAACCAAAAAAACACCATCTACCTATCTATACACACACTTCTAAATGCATCCTGACTATTTTGGAATTGAAAAACAGTTTTCTATCTTTAAAGAAATATATAGTAAAAATGATACTGGCATGGCACAACTAAGGAAATCAACACTGCCCCAGTCCTAAGGCACATTTTTCCGTATAAGCTGCAGCAGAATCTGAAGTTCATCAAAAGTGCATCAGTGTAAATCTAAACAGAACAATCTTGATGACATATATGTGCTTTGTGTAGATGCATTTCACATTCTCTATCAAGTTATTTTATCCCCTGTGGAAGTTTGGGCTGCTAAATAACACAACTTTGGCGCTCATTTTTAAGTAGCTTACAGACCCCATGTACATTACCAATGTCTGAACAAAATTTACCCCAGTAAAATACAGCCTACAATAAGCTTTGAATCTTCACCAAAGTAGTGAGTATTGTATTGTAAGATACAGAAAAGGCTTTGAATGATTATGCAACATCATATCTGTGCCATCACTGAAATTTTTTATCATTTGAATTTAGATATATTTTATTTCTATTAGCTATTTTAGCTGTTATGGGTGCTGTGCATTATAATTCATACAGATGAATGCGACTTGGGGTTTATCTGTCAGAAAACATCATTTCCTTCACTGTCCACTGAGCAAAACAAAAAATCCATCCGCTACTGTGGGATATTTTAAAAATATCATTTCCTCAAGAGGTGTTGAATTATTCTCACCACATACACAGTGTGCAATTGGCAAGAATCTTTTCTCCAGATTGGTAGAAAAGGGCACTGAACACTGTAAGATCACCTCCTGCACATTTCAGCTTAAATTAAGGGTTTAAATTAAAATATTATTTCTCGAAAAAGAAAGTTTCAAAACTATCTTTAAACACTTCAAAACATACTTTTTTAATTATGCCACACATACAACAGTTTTGCTACACACTTGAACTTCTTCATACACAGACACAGATTACCTTAGCAGCAGAGTTGTGTTTTAAGCACAAAGTACCACCATTCTATTTTCTCTGAAGTTGTGCTGCTATTAAGCTGCTCAGACCATTAAAATAACTTTAGTATGACCATTCTGAAACTTTCTAAAACAGAAACAACAAAACACAAGTAGAGGGGTTTGGCAACCAAGTCCTGCTGGGATCACTCTTTGGAATATCATTTGAATGTCACAGTAGGTATGTGAACAGAGTTCTTTTTATGTATATATAGAACGGGTAGTTGTTTTATTTTCTCTTTCTCTCTCTCTCTCTCTTTTTTTTTTTAATAGTGCAACGAAAATATAGCTTCAGTGAAGACATGAGTTTATGTTCCCATGTGAATGCAAGTGCGACAAAAGAATGCAAGATTTCTCCAAGTTCTCCTCTTAAAGTGCATGATCCTACAGCTAGCCATGCATCAGGAACACTGGCTACCCACCAAGCAGATCACAAATCTTAGAGGGTACCCAGATTGACCAGTTTTATGCACCACCCTGCTGGAGACACATTACCAAGTTACATTAGAATATAAGGCAACCTTTTACAGGTAATATCATTCACAGCATAAAGTGTAGCCTAACCAGCATCATCCCATAGCACACCTCACCAAAAGGACTGTCACAAGAGCCATGTGTCTGGGCTTGGTAGACTGCCATAGGCCAACGCTGGAAAAGCACGGGGGCTTCAGAGTCAGCCCAACCTCCTATTCCTCTTCTTCTTGGGGAAATCTGAAGCATAATGGAAACCTCTCAAACTTTTAAATCTCTATATTACCTGACATCTCATGACATAAGTTACACTATGTTACTTGCTCTCACCTTATGTTGCGTTGATGGGATGCTCCACAGCTGGCAAGCAGCTGAATATGATGCACTGATATTCTTTAACTGGTACACTGTAAAGACTAAGCAGCAAAAAGTAACAAGGGCTGATATCACTAGTAAAAAGTCCCTTGAAGAAGTTACAGGAGCAGAAATTTTCTTCTCCTTAACAATATGTTAATAAAACTGCATGTTCTGCCTCCGTAAATTTTGTTTATGTTCTAAAACCTTCGAACTAACATTACTACTGTTGTAGTACTCTACTGCTGTAGAGTAGCAACCCTAATTAAAAGTACTTTCTTTTTTCCTCAAGTGCCGAAGTCCTAAATCAAAACAACTACACGTGAGGCTCACATCAAACTCTGATGTCTATTTGGAACATATTTAAGTGAGAACAGAAAATATCAATCAACCCATAGTGTTTGTGTAGGCAGCAAAATGAGAATATTTCCCATGAACTACACCCTGAGGGAGAACTTCATTAGGATATGTACAAAAGATATTTGAAAAATAAATAAATAAATAAATGGGGAGGCGGGAGGGAGAGGAAATCAAATCACTAGAACAGGAATCTCAGCTCCTTAAAGTGCTGTGCTTTTTTGCTTTTTTTCTTTCCCCTCAAATATTTATTTTCACAACTAAATTGTATGCTTTTTATCTTGTTTCCTCTTTTCTTTTCCTGAAGTGAGCCACTTTTGTTGTTGTTGCTGACAAGTCAAAACGTTTCTGTTCAAAGCTCAGTTGTGGATCTTAGAGAAGATTTTGCATCTGAAGAGCTGCTCATTCCACTGCACTTTATAAAGGGAGTATCCCATAGTTTGCAGACTGTGAGTCACTGCCATTGCATCTGTGGCTCTGAGACCAGATTTCTTTTGCTGTATAGGCAGAAACACTGCTTCATGGGACTCTGTGTTGCTCTTTATTTGTTAGTATGACCTAAGTATTTCCAGTACATTCCATCTGCTGCTCACTCAGAAAAGAGTGGAAAAAAGGGCCCTCTTCCATATGCAGTCTCCTTTCCTTCTCCTCTCCCCACTACTTGCACTGTACTAACTCAGGGCATTTCTGTCAATAAAATGCATCTTGAATGCATCTACTGTGCCAGGACCACGATGCCTCCTCCAGCCTCAGCAATCTCACTGAACTTTTTGGGCCTGTCTGTATACTCTACATTTTATCAGCTCTTGCGCCCCAAACAAAATCACAGCTAAGAAAATGGTTCAATTTATGATAAAAATCACAGCACACTCCCCATTCATAACACAAAGACAGATGTGCTTTCATAACGGTGGCCTCATCTTTCCAATCAAGGCTATTTGCACGCCATTCAGAATGGTGGAATACAATACCATACCAGAACTTAAAACAACTTTCTAAGAGTTGACAAGAGTATTTACTTCATGTAACGAAAGACAAAAACAAAATTAGCTCAATTGCTGTGCTGCACACTTACAGAAGTGGTGCACTTTGGTCTGTCCATTAGGCCTTAATATTTCCTGGGATTTTGCTATTCCTCCATAAAGAAAGAGAAACCTAGAAGCTTTTTGTTTCTTTGTTTCTGTTTTTTTGGTTTTGTTTTGTTTTGTATATAATTTGCCACAATTTCCAAAACTCACATGAGAAAGTTACATTGGCTGCTCATGCAAATACTGAGCTAGATGCCTCCAAAGGAAAAAAAAGAGAAGATAAAAATACAAATACGCAGTAACATAAAATCAAATTAGCCAAATATGGCTGCATCATCTCTCAAATGAAAGAAAAACCCTGAATTCACAAGCAACAGAATAACCACTATCCCATTTCTTATTCTTTTGTTCCACAGATCAAAAAAAATAATTCAACACATAAGCAAGCTGAAAAGTTGCCTATTTGTAAGTTATGATACGATTAGTTGCCTATTTCTACGGACAATTAAGTTGTAGTGTAAATTAATACAATTTAAATGGGAAATTTTAGTATGTATTACAAAGGAATATTACAAGATTGAGGATATAGCCAACTATTTAGCAGCAGATAAAGATCTTCTGGTAAAAAAATCTATTACTCAAACTTCTAAAATATTATTAAAGTAATTATAACATCACAGTTACATTTTTCCCATATTAACTTATTATAAACTCCAGGATAATTTCTCTCTCTTTTTTTTTTTTTTTTTTAAGTGCAGATGAACAAGAAAATTATTCTTAACTATGTATTATTACATATCATAACACAGTAATATTAGTTCTGAAATTCTCACGTCAGAAGACTCACAGAATGAGCTGAGAAAGATCTAAAGGCTATAGAAATACTTTTCTCTACATAACAGAGTCATTTTCTTGCACTAGCATTAAAACAAGTCTTTGCTCAAAGCCTATGCATCAGTGTAAATCACACCAAATTCCTACTTTGGACTTTAAAAGCTGTATAACCATTTTGTAGATCTTTGCATGTCACACAAAGGTAACCCACGGGTCTAGTGGTCAGCACAAGATAATTCATGCCTTTTAAATCCTGTATTCTGGTAGCTGGAACTGAAGGGCACAGGCAAAGCTACCAAACAGGAGGACTCACTGAGAGAAAAACAAGGGTATGGGCAAAGCAAGCTGGGAAAGGAGAGAGAAGGAGACGTGCACATGGCTCACCTGGCGGCTGTTGCTGATGTCTAAGTAAACCACCAGAAGCAATCACGTCTGCATTAGGCTGGGATGGAGAAGAGGATGGAGAAAAGTGGTGAGAAACATTTAACTTCCTCACTAGCTTCCCAATTCTATACCTTCATATGCTCCAACTCATTTATTTTGATAGCTCTCTATGAAGTCAAATATTTTCATTGTCCTGCCCCACACAACATTAATTCTTCACTTTGATAATACCCAAACACAAATAAATTGTGTTTTTCATTTCTTTTCAAATAAGTTTCCCACAAACTGGAGCATTTTCCACATGTTTGCTGTGATAATTCAACCTTTTTTTGTGTGTGTGTAATACCAAATGCCCTTATTTTGATAATTTGAAATAAAAACAGTTGAAATGCTACAGAGGCTGCATAATACAAAGTTGATAATATGAGAGTGCAACTCAGAATTTTCCTATTTAAATCAGGAAGGAATCAGCATCTTTCCATATCAAACCCCAGTGCACAAGCCGTACCTACTTGGCTATTTGGCATAGCTTAGTCCCAGCAGCAGTTCATTTAAAGCTACAAAAGCACACAGTATCTACATTAAAGAGACTGACAAAAGGCATGTTTTCAAATGAAAACTTTTAACACAAGCTTTCAATATCAGTATTTAACCACATAAAATAAAGCCCCTAGATTTCCAGTAAAGTATTTGCAGAAGTGCTGAGCATTAGTGATCCCTTTCTGTGTGAGTTACAGGAGTTCAGCACCTTTGGAAAAAAATGGGGTGTTTTAATTAGGTCTGGGCATGAATGTAAAATCCTAAGATCTAAAATTATGCAAACTCACTGTTCATAATACATACAAATATCACTGAGGTGTGTGGGGGCAGGGTGGAAACACGACCAAGGGAAACCCTAGTGCGATCACAGATCATTTTAAGGAAATGAAGTGCAATATAGATTTCAAAATGCAAGCTGAGGTCTTTATGTCCCAGCTGATAAACAATCTCATTTAGCAGTTGCATATGCCCACTAGTGTTATTACACTGGTTTTCTTTTCTTTTTTTAATGCAGAGAAACAAAGTAAAGCACTGTCTATAATTACAAGCCTGAAAATCATATTCTTGCATTCTAATTTTTTTTCTTTAAGTAATACAATGCATCTTTGCAGATCTAAGCAAAGTATAAAACTGGAGATTAACATTGTTATGCTTGGAAATGTCTGCTATTGTAATGAAACAAAGCGTACATTCTTCCCTCCAAGATAACTTGAATAGTTTTCTCCCTATTTAGTGGAGTATGTTGCGTTTAATTACACAGAGAACATGCCTGCCTTGTAGGTTATATGCAAGTAGCAAAATTTCACTTGATTTTCAAAAGATGGTATCAGAATTAATTTTTAATAACAATGAATATTCTTCCCTGAGCTGGAGCAAGGTAAAAATATTTCTCTGAGTTAGAATATTATTCACTTATAGATCACTCATCATAAAAAAAAAAAATCCACTTGATAAGACAGACTGTTTTCTTTCTCTCTCTTAATCTCTTTCTCCTGTCTCTCCTTTTGCCTTTGTTCTTTGTCTATCCCTTTCATTTCTCCCTTTCAACTGCTAGGAAAAGGTGGACTCTAGTCAAATAGCACTGCTAGTACATATCGTATGTATTACTTTATTTACAACATTTTTATGAATTATTCCTTTTTAAATGGAATGTATGAAGACATATTTTTCCTAGTTCCTAACAAAAAGTATGAAATAATTGTCTTCACTGATAGAATCAGTACTCAGATTCCAAAACAATAGAATCTTAAATCTCCACCCTTCGAACTGTTGCTCCTTTGCCTTTGTTCTCCACTTTAGTGCCAATAATTTTTCCAGTAGACATACTGTAAAAACAGACTTTAAGTTCTGGCCTTAACAAAAATATTTCCTTTCTTTTCTTAGTCATGTTTTTCTTAGCAAGATATTTCATTTAAGCAATCTGCAAAAGTGAGTTTGCCTTTAAATAAGGAACTACTTTTTATTTTTACTAGTAGCACAGACTACTTTTGCCTGAGTGTACAGAGATGTTTTTGATCATGTCTTATACAAATGTTTCTATACAAATGCAGTAGTAGTAGTTGTTGTTTTTAATGCTTTTTTTGTTATAATTATTTTCATTTCTACTTTGTGATGCTCTAGCTAGAATTACTTTCCTTATTATTTTAAGGAATACGCACAAAATAAAAATGACAACAACAAAAATACAATCCATACAAAATAAATATGACTGCTATTCCCTCCAATAAAATTGTTTCTAATCCAAATCCTCACTGAATAAGAAACCATTTGATTTGTACCACCATTAAAATTGGACATATTAGTAGTACTAAGTAATAGCTCTAGTAGTAAACATTTCTTAGTAAATAGAAAGAATAATTGCAATTTGCTCTAAAAACAAAATCAGCCTTTTCTTTTTCCTTCACTTACCTGTCTACTTATTATAAATGCTCAAGAAGTGCCAGCAGCAAAAATGAATAGCCCAACAAATAAAAGACATTAAAAAAGAGTCACTTCTAATTTTAAAATAAGCTAAACTATTTTATAAAGAGAACCCGAGATGCCAAGAAGATAGAAATCACAGCTGTGGGGAAGGCTATTCTCAAAGTCCATATACTGTCTTAGAATAACAAAAAGAGAAGACAACTGCTTGTATTCACAGTCAAGCTCATCAAGTTTCTTCCTTTGCAATTTCTAGGCTACATAAAAAGTCTTAAGCAGTAAACAGTGTATGATTTAAATAAGGAGTGTATCTTGAAGCGTATCTTTTAATAAACATTTATTATGTGTTCTGAACGAGTGTTTACATATGAACTTTGATGTACATTTTCTCTGTATCTCTGCATCAGCAAATGAAAATTAACTTGACTTTGAGAACAACACAGTAATTTTATTTACATGAATTGCATTTTTCTGTACGATTCAGAAGCTCAAATTAGAATTTGCTTTCCTAGCAAAAATGAGCCTTTTGAAGCTAGAACTTAAAAAATAAGTATTTTTTCCAAGTAATGATAGCTAAACAATATGCTAAAAATCAAAATTTAAAAAATAGGAAGACCATCATATGTTTATAAGCTCACTAGATATGCATAGTGGTATGTCTTCCAGTAAATTCACTATATTTCCTAAACAGGTCATAATGTTTCAGTTCTTCTATAAGTATATTACACTTAGATCCTTGGAAGATAACTTATGTCACAACCTTTCTTTATCATTGACTCTGACTAGTGAAGGCTCAATCATATCATAAAAGTTTAATCAATGTATGACCACTGTGTGTGTGTATATGCGTTGAAGATGGCACAATCATTTTACAAGAAACAGCAGCTCTATTTCCAAGCCTCGATGGCCTTCTAAACTTTGAAATCACATGAAATATTTTCAAATTCTGATAATCCAACTACTACAAAGCACGCCACTCTTGGTCCCACAAATCTTGTGTTTTCCTCCCTTTTGTCACCTTCAAACTGAATATTAATGCATTACATTGCTCCTCCCCTGCAAAGTTGCTTCTTTCTTTATCACTGTTTTTTGGCAAGTCTTTCCTGACCTTGTAAAAGGTCATTCCTTATTCTAAAGATTTTACTTTACTCACTTGTACTCAGTATATCAAAACATTTTACTAGAAGTTGGATTTACTATTGTTACTAGACAGGCAATACTCAACAACCAGCAACATTTTTGGGAAAGTTTATGTATCTGATCTGCCATAGCTGTGCTTTTGGTATAACTTCCTAGACATTAGTGGAACCAGTGAAGTCCCAGAAAAAAATTTATTCTGCTACATTTTGATCCTTTTGGACATGTTCTAATTTTCATAAAAGGTTGGGGGACTTTTTGCTTTGTTTTGTTTTTTAATCTTATCTAATCTACATCATTTGAGCTATACTGCACAGTATAGGCCCTTTTTTCAGATGAGTACCTTGTATGCAGTTTGAACACTCTCCACGTCTCCAAAGCTTTACTTGCTCTATTTCCTTCTAATTACAAGACACGTAGATGTGAATGGTATAGCAAGCCATATTTGTTAGTGTACTAAGTAACCTAAATATTAGGTTTGGATCTGTGTCATAAAGATATTGAAATGCTGTGAAGTTAATTACTTGGTGTTTTTTATTTTTTCCAAACAGAGACATAACTAGCTAAAATGATAATATTTAAGAGGCCCCACAAACCTGCACCCGATTATGTTATCTATTTAAATCGTATCTACTCACATTTAAAAACAAAAGTCATCAAATCTGGAGCCAACAGTCTTCTCTGACAGACTCAAAAAACTGGATAGTCCATTTTTCAGATTCTTCACACCAGTCCTCCAGCATGTCGTTCTGCATGATGAGATATGGTTGGTCATTTTTACAATTCTCATCAGATCAGAGAAAATACAGTCAAAAAAAATTCCCTATTTTGAGAGTTGCTTTTTTTTAGGCATCTAATGATTTAAAAACTGTATAAATGACCTTCTTTTAAAAAAACAAAAATAACACAAATTATAGCTTACAAAATGAAAACACTGCTAAAATTAGAGAATATTTCAAAAACATTTACTTATGTAAGCCACATTGCATTTTGTGTAAATGAAGGTTCAAAGCAGACTTCCATGAAATTTCATGAAAGCAGTTCCATAACTTAATTGAAAACTATTTCACTCCAGAGATATTTTACTTCTCCATGAAAATCGGTGGCATGGTTGTTTACTATAAGTTATTCTAAAATGAATGATGTTTTTTGTACCCTTACCATAACACGAAAAATTGTAAACTTTCAGGTAATAAAGCATCTAACTTTTAGTTGTTTTTCTACCTTACCAGGTAAAAATAAATGCCAAAAAAATTACTCTTTAAGCACACATACAGGCACATATTACTAATTAAATTAAGTAATAGGAAGCAGTGCAAGAAGTGGGAAAGAGCTGCAGTGTTGACTTTCATGCACAGCTGAGTGGATATAACAGTCTGTTACCCTTTGTATGCTCCATCTTTATTCCTAGACCCTCACTTTCAGACCCTCCTTTGCAATGAGTTTGGCACAGATGCCAGGAATCAATTCAACTCAGCAGGCAAACAGCAAATTGTACAATCGGTTTTGGTTTTGAAATCACCAGGTTGGTGATTTCAAAAGAGCAAATGACCACAGGGAGAGAGTGAAAGAAGATGACAGGAAACTGGTACTTTTCAAATATAAGGAAGTAGTCCAACTCATTCACTCTGTGATATGGAGCTGAGGCTTGGGCTGCCCAGTACCATGATAAAAGAAGCAGAAAAATGTCATTCTGTAGCTGGAGATTTAGATACCAAGCTTCTCCCAGAATTGCTATGCCAGTTTGTAATAGTGATTGAGGCCAGACTCCAACTGCAATGTCAGTAAGTTTGGAGTAATGGAGGTTCCTCTCCAGCAGTCTCCAAGTACAGTCTTTTCCCTGATCTCAGCTCCCTGGAAGTTGTCAGGGATATCACTACTCACACAAGCACACAAAGGTGGAGCCTCTGGCTCTGATTTGACACACTGAATAGTGTAACAGCTGGAGGACCTACGATCTGCAGGAAAAATCAGATGTAAAGTGGCAGCTCTAGTAGAATAAGACCTTGGCTCAGAAGAAACAGTGATGAAGCTGCGCTTAGGGGCACAGAGAATACCCAGGGAACCACAGATATTCCTGGGAGAACGAAGCAGGGACTGAAGCATCCCCAGAGACCACAGTGTCTTCTTTGAGGTATCCCTATTTCTGTGGACTGCCACCATTACTTGGCAAGTATATCCAAAGGTGGGAGGCTTCTTAGAATTGAGCTCTCTGTCGGAAGAGATTTTGTTACGTGAGACTCATAACTTTTAGGCTCACTGCCATATTAAAGTCCCTCCTCTGTCTCTCTTGGTACAAGTCATTTACCACAGCTGAGAGAAAGATGGTGTTTGTTTTAAACATCCTTCAATAATATCTCTATTAAACTCTCCTGAATCTAAACTGCTAAACAAACAGAGAATACGTACATTTCTACTAACAGAATATGAGTAATTTATTTCTTGCTATAATTACCTCTACAAAGGAAAGGAAAATTTCTACAACTCTCTTTTCACAACATAATAAGTACAAAAATAATTACCCATCACATAGTAAGCCTAAAAAATAATTAGTACTTTCCAAATCCATCAGTTCCTACAAATATGAGAATTTCTGAGATTGGAGCAGAGAGATTTTCTTTAGAGGAAAGCATATCTTAGATCCAAAACTAATACTTTTTTTTTTTCTTTGAAAGATGTCACAGGTATTATTCCAGAGGGGAAACTCCTAAATTTTCATTGATTTTTTCATGCATATATAACTGTTATTGTAATAACTGATATTGTGTTAATATTTTTGTTTACATCGTGCAACGATAAACAGGACTAAATTATAGCAACTTATATCTGAGCTACAGAGTGCCTTCCTCTGCCATCAATACAAATGAGAGATGCTTACACACAACTAATCAATGATTAACTCCAGCTATTCTCAGAAAATACTACAGACAGAATGAAAAATCTCTGTAAGAACTAGTTGTGGCAATGCGACTGGTCTGTGCCATGTTTTCTACACTATGCTTGGGATTCAAACAGGCGTTTTGGCAGGAGACTTGAATTGCTTACTGTGTGCATTCTGCCATCTATTTTTGCCCAGCAAGGTCAGCATGCCCAGCCTGCAGTACTCAGGTCATGTCATCTCTGAAGTGTTTCCTGGGGAAGGACTTGTCAGAGCAGATGAGCCTGCCATTCTTAGTAGAATAACTTTCAGCACCAGACTCCCAGGTTACTTCCCACAATTCAGAGACTTATTTCCACATTTCTTTTGTTCTTAAAACTTCTGCCTTAGTGTACATGATACACTAACATAGCCAATATCTGTATGTAAGAGGCCAAATCCCCTCAGCTTTATCATTCCAGAAGAGGGTGGTAGCAAGATTTCTAAGATGCATAAAAGAAATGCCCTGTTTCTGACTCTACTTGCCTAAAAGATTGCACGGCATCAATATGACCTACTTACAAGCAAAGCTGCATGACTCTTATAAGTACTACTATAGGACAGAACAGCAGAAAGATGCATACTTCATCTCCTAAGCTCAACACCAGACAGCAGCTGCTGCGGTCCTCTTTGAAGGCTCTGAGCAACCAACATTGTTACACACGCGCCATCATAATACAATACCTGATTTATATAAGGCAGCTTACATAAAGACTGCATTACGTTAGACAACTTCAAAGCAATGACCTAAAGTGTGATAAAGCCAGTGCAAAGAGAACAAGCACTCTTCCTCCTTTACGAGAAAGGAAAGGGAATGCAACTCTTGCTGCCACGGGAGCTTTGCCCCAGCCTCCTGCCTCTCTCTCAATCAGTATGCAATAATCTCGAGACCTACAATATCTTCAGAGGAAAAGGGAACTTCTAGGAATAGGGCACAACAACAACTATGTCCTGCACACCTGAAAACAAGGAAAACAGACTTGAGGAAGTACTTGCATCTGTATCTTTCAGTATAAGCACTAATAACAGCTGCATTTATCTGGCAGTCCTCCTACCAAACTGTTATCTAGTGCCATACCTTTCTCAGTTAAAAGCAAACCCTTAAAGATGGGTCACAGATGTAATTGATTATTTTTTTTTTTAACCAATGGATAAGTTGGTTTCCATTTACAATTCCATATAATTATTCGACAAGATGAAAGCTAGGTCAGAGAATTATGTCCATTAGTAAAATTTGCAGCAAAACCTAGAAGTTAAACACAGCTCCTTGTTCAGCATCTATGATTACACTGACTTCTCCTTTATCCTGAGTACCTCCTTGACATTATCCTCAAGCAGACTATAATAAAAATTATCTGTTGCAAGGATAGAAGTCTCAAATCAGTATTACTCTGTCATTTGGCAAACAACAGAAATGTCAGAATAGACCCATTTTCCCTGGAAAGTGTTATTACTCAAGGGACAGGCTACCATTTCCAATGAGAGTTCAGTATTGAAACTCTCATCTACTTAGTTCAATGAAAGCTATTATATTTGGCAGTAGCATGAAGTAAATTTCCTTCTGAAGTACTCATTGAAAGTATGTTTTTATTGAATTGGCAGGCAAAACATTCCCAGGGAGCACTTTATTGGATAAAGAATGTCACTTTGACATTCTTTCCCTCAATGTGACAACATGCAAGAATTTATTCCGAATCAGATGTAATTATCACGTATTTATTCTCCATTTTCATTCTCACTTTAGCCTGTCACCTGTTGAGAAACATTTGCTGTCTGTCTGTCCTCTGCATACAGTACTGCTGCTTCCCATCAGGACAAGTTCTGTAGTTGTGAAAGCTGCTTCAAATCATTAAAAACAAAAGAAAATCTTGAAACAATGAATTTTCAAGATTATCAACTTATCATAGGAAAAAAAAAACATTTTACTACAGAGCCACATGATATCACTGCAATTCTTGAGTGTCCTTGTGAATGTATGTGTTTTTAAAACATTTTCTTTGAGGACAATCTGAAACAAAAATCTCATAAACTTTTTGAAACGCAAATAAATAAGAGGGAGCAGAAAAATAAGTGTTCAATGCATTTTGGGTGCATTTAAATACTTTAAATACTTGTCATATGCTATTGTTGCTTCCATTCCTCCCCAGTACCATCCTCCTTCATCTAAGGCTTTTTTTTTTTTTTTGGAGGGGGGAGAGGGGGTGATATCTGTCACTTTTGTTGCAACTACAATTCAACTAAAAGATATTGGAAAAAAAAAACAAAAACAAAAACAGAGGTTATTAGCACATAAGATGTATATAGTAACAATCAAAAATTCTAATTACATATTTCATGCAAAACTTATGTAATCCAGGAAAGTGGCTTGCTTAGTAAACTAAGCAAAGGAGGAAATGGAAAAAAAAAAAAAAAAAGAAAAAAAGAAAAATAAAGGACAGAAATTGTGGCAAATATCTGCTGAAATTGGCTTCTTAGAACAGCCAGTCAGGTTACATGAAAATTGCAGATATTGTTAAAAGGAGTAAGAGAGTTTGACAGCAAAATGGGTAGAGTTGTTATTCCTTCCACACACACACATCCTTTTTACATCTGCTGGGAGCAAGTTCTGAGTGTTCTAAATTGTCTGCAATTAAACATAACATAAAAATGAATTCTGTTACTGTTTTGTGGAAAGAAACTGAAATTCCCAGAGAGGCTGTAAGTTTTCAGCAGCCTCAGCTGAGAGCAAAGAAAAAGTCATAACCATTTCTCTGAGAGGCTGGCCAAGAGCTGCCAAGCACCCAACGGAAAAGCATTTTG